ATTCTCTAGAGATTTCCTCTAACTGAGGCAATGAATGTTCTCATGAGTTTCCTGGGCACAAGAGATACCCCAGAACACCACTGTTGTTTCTTCTAAGAGGGTAGAGTTCAAGTGCTCTGAAGAGTAATAAAACTGACCACGTGATCTTCTCCCTCTGACGCTTGATTCCACCCCCGGGGTTCATAATAAGTCTGTGCAATGTGTTTATTGAAAACTGGTTCTCACTTTCTTGCAGGTGTGCAGGGTTTCTGAGCCACGAGCAGTTGAAGAGTGGGAAGACCATCTGGAAAGACTGGGAGTAAGGACGCCCCATCTGATGGAAGAAAGGAAGTGCAGGCCCACCCATCGTTGCACGTGGGTCTTTTCATCAGCCTTCACACTGCTCTTGCAAGCCCTCAGCAGGACATTGCATCAAGCTGATGGGCTTGTGTTGAGTTCTCTTTCAACTCACCCCAAGCCTTAGGAGAGTCATATTTCTGACAAATAAATTCATTAAGTCTTGCTAAGCCTCTTTTAAATCATGATTCTTTCTTCGAAACAACAGCCACAGACATTAAAGTCATTAACATTTATCACCATTCACCAGGAGGTCAGAGAAGAGCACCATGTAGGAATGGACAGCCTTGTGGGTGTCATGGATGCATGGTCCCATCTGGAACCCTGGGGCACAGACATCATGAGCAGAGGAGGCAGCAGGGCCAGTGGTGGACGCGAATTCTGCCGCCACCACCTCTAACCAGTACACCCTGGGCAGTGTACTTGACTGCTTTGTTCTTTAGTCTCCTCCTCTGTGAGGTTGAGATAATGAAAGCAACTAATTTAGGGGATTATTGTGAGAATTAAATGAGATTATCTATGCCATAATAGGTATACAATAAGTGCCTTACAATTGTCAATTTTTGACTCTGTTTTCCAGAAAAGATTGACGTAGAATTTAGTCCTCATGATGGGTAGCTTTGAAGATGTCAAAAGGGACAATGCCTCAGAGGCTGGCGGCTCCTGCCATGGTGAAATAGGCAGCCGTGTGGTCAGGTCAGGGCACAATATTCACATGCTCCCTCCCCTGAGAACAATGATCAGATTGTCTACAGGAAGTATCCTATAGTCCGGCATATCTTGTTCCCCACCTTGGACAAAGTGGGAGAGAAAGTCATAAAAGGATTTCTCTGCTCTTGCTCAGTTTTCATCTCATGAAAGAATAAGACTTTCACCAAATTTCATGAGTATACAATCAAGTTCTTACCTGGCAGAACTAATCTTCTGGGGGAACAATAATAGGTCATGTTAATTAAGTACTCATTCTCCTAAGTATATTTTACATTATCTCATTTTTTTCTCATCTCAACCCTCTAAAGAGGGTCTCTTATCATCCCCATCTTACAGAGGACACTGAGCACAGAATGGTAACTTGCCCAAGGTCATCATTTAGCCAGAACTTAAACCCATTGGATCAAACTCCCTACCCACTCTACAAAGTTATGTCTCACCTCAACCAGCCCTCTCTCCTTCTGACTCACTTCGGTATTTCATTTTCTTATTGACATTTGATAAGAAGGTCAGATGGATGATGAAGGATGTTGGTGAGCCCTCATTTTAGCAAAGTTGTATCTAGCACTTAATCATGTGACAAATCACTCTACTAGGATTAGGGGATAAACGGAGGGGAGGACATGCAGTCCATGTCCCTAATGAGCATTCCATCTCCTTGATGGGAGGGAGAGAGAGAGTAAGAGAAAGAGAGGCAAGATGAAATAAAAACAACAATATAAGAAAGGGAGGGAGGAAGTGAGAGGAAGCAGATATCTGGGAGCGTACAGTACAGATGGGGTGATTCAACTCCACTAAAAAGGTCAGTGTGTTTTCTTTGCCTTTATGGTAAATGGAAGAAACTGAAGCTTAGAGATCTTAAATAGCAAATCCTGGTTTGCTCAGCAAGTCGGTGAGGGGAGGTAGGAGTCTAGGGTCTGACTCTGAAGCCCTTACCTCACATATGTCCCCCTGAGCCTGAGAGGGTCATTTACGACCATGTCCTCAAGGGCCTGAATGTCGCACAAAGAAGCCTGGGCTTTATTCTCTAATGAATATAAGTACCTACAATGCTCCTCTGCTCTAAATTTTAGAGCATCATCTAGGGATTGCCGGGCAGAGGGCAAATCCCACTGGTTTCCTTCTGTGCACACATATATCCCATATCCCCTCCAGGGGTGTCCGGTGAGCCAGTCAACTTTTTTCACTCTTTTATGCAAACACAGCAGCTGGATTAGCTGCACCTGCAGCCTCTGCTGTGTCACACATGATAAAAAGATCAAAGCCTAGCACATGACTTCAGACTATAATTTAAGATAATTAAGATTTTTTAACCTAAATTACATTTTAACATTTCATAACAGAGCTGTCAAGATTCTATCTATCAAAACTCTATCAAGCAAACAAAAGAGGATAATTATATTTTCAGACACATGCAGTCATCACTCTACTTAAGTTCTCATAAAAAAGACTTCTGTCTTCTTTCACATTCTCATTTTCAATTGCTCTTCCTCTTCCCACCCACCCTTGGATTCTGAGACTAGACATTCTTAAACAAGAGGAAAATATACCAAAGGAGTTTATAATTCAGGCCATGAAAGTGTTTCTCAGAAGCAGCAATTCTAATTAGAACTGCATCTAAAGGAAATATCTCTTCGTTGGTAGGGACATCTTGCTTCACTAAATAGACTCTGATTGGGAATGGGGAAAAGGCAGCATATTAAACTCCTCAAATCAAAGAGAACAATGAATTGCTTAAAATCTTCCTCCTGGAAGCTGAATTTGCTTTCATCTTGTCCCATTAAGATACGGAGATTGTTGCAAAATCTTTGTGATGCCAAGGGAAGAATACTAACTATTTTGGGTATTGTTGGATGCCTGCCCATCATCCAATTCACCTTTCCCCTGACCATTAACAATCAGCCATGCCATTTGAGTAAAAATTACCCTACTCCCGGCTGCAGAGGCCTCAGGCACTCAAGGTAATCTTATCCTCTTTAAGACTGTGATTGATTCAGGAATGCACAAGGAACACAGGCTGCAGCCAATCCATGCATGGCATCCCCCAGTTCCCGTGACTGCTCAGGACAGGGGCACAGGATCTTACTCGGCCCAATGGCCAAGAATGAAGCCCACAAGTTTTGCTGGACAGTAGAGAGGAGAGAAATGCTCTTCTTTTGGACCTCTGTGTGTAGACATTGGACCTGGAACTGTTACAGGCATTTTGCTATCAATACAGGAAGCCTAAGGACAAAGCCTGCACATGGAGGAGGATGAAGCCAGGACCGTTACAGAGAAATGGAGCAGAAATCCTGATTAAACCATGTGTGAACACTGACATAGCCAGTTTGAGTTATGTTCTGCTTTGTTTGCCACCAAAAGTATCCTAACTGATCTACCAACTCTAATAGTTGAGTACAGTGTTCTTAGCTTTGTGGAATCATAGCCCTTTGAAAATATGATATAGACCAGGATCCTTCTTCCCAGAAAGACACATGTACAAAAAGTTCACATAGAATCTAGGGGTGACAGGGGCATGAACTCCAGATTGAGTCTCCAGCAGACTGGTTAGGCATTTAGGCTTTGAGGTAGGATAGATCTGGGTTCAAATCCTAGCTCAGCCACTACCAACTGCATGACGTCAGGTCACTTTATGTAACTCTTCTGGACCTCATTTTATTATGCCATTAAATGAGAATAATAATACCTACTTCACAGGGTTGTAAAATGTAAATAAAATCATGTATGTCTAGAGATTAGCACAGTACCTCTCTCACAGTTACAGCCCACAGCCTATGGCATCAAGCAATTAAGAATAGTCCTTAAAGGACTCCAGAAAGAAACCCCTTAAGATAAAAGTCCATGTCAAGTGTTAGAAGATGCACAGAACTGAAGCCATGACTGATCTGATTATGTAAAGCAGTTGATCAGGAATTGGTCCTAGATTTTGGGAAAACCTGTCATGAGGACAGGAATTTGGGTAAGACACAGCTTCTTAGTCTGAAAAGTGTCTAGATAATTCTCAAGACTATTATGGCATCAAATATGAGAAAAAGGATTTGATCCACCTGGGGCAGAATAGGCAAGGTTTTGTTAACAGTAAAGTTTTTTAAAGGCAAAGCAAAAGGGAATAAAAAAGACTATGGTTGCACATCTGCAGACTTTCAGAATCTTAAGACCAAAAACTAGTAATTTCCCATCCCAGCCCAACAGAAATGACTCACTGGTCTGTCCTTTACAGGCCAAAATCCCAAAGTTTCTTTTAAAAAGGTAAAATTTTGGTCTCCATAGGCAATGGCCACACTGCCTAATATCCCTGCCTGCTATTCAACTCATGTCCTGCCCGCCCACCTCCAGCACCTGCAAGTCCTGCTCCACCCAGAGGCTCTCCTGGCTGCTCATATTTCAACAAAACCGTAAGGCTTTTCTAGAATACCCCCTTGATTTATGACTTGCAAATGTCAGCAAGAATGGAAAATCCAGGACACAGCCAGGAAGAACATAGTCCAGGGACATTTTAGAGCTGATACAGCCCATCTGCTTGGTCTTTCACTGTGGTTCTCTATTTCTACCTTCTACTACCTTATTTTTCTTTCTGCATCAAAACACTTCTTTTTTTTTTTCCACTCCATTTTTCTAAGTAGGCCAGTCACAAATAAGCACCTTTTTGAAGGCTAATGCAATCCCATCACTGCATTTTCTACACTTAACTCAGGATGAGGATGCCAAAATAAGTCCCAATGAAACGGCACAGTGAAGTGACCCCTCCCTACAGCCAGTGGACAGCAAGATTGGACTGGAAGTGTGTCCCATCCCAGCCTAATATCTTGGTTAAATTCATTTCTTCCTGTGAATCTTTTCCTTCCAAACACTCTCAGCATTTTGAAGCGTAAAGATCACAAATTAACAAGAAAAGGTAAAGAACTATTCTGACTTCCCACATCACAGCCAGTGATGACTGAGCAACAAAGTTCTGCTCCCTTCTAGAAACCACCCAGACAAAGAAAGCAAAAAGGAAAGAAATGCTGACAGAGACTCACAAAGGCCACTGTGAAGCACGAAGCACACCAGGACATCCTATGGAAAGGGAGGGCAGACACAAACACAGTTGGCACAGAGAACAGCCAAGCCACAGCACTGCTAATGACAGTCAGCACTCTGGAGAAATACTCCAAAGGGCAGCTGCAGAGGTGGCAGCCAGCTTACTGAGGAAAACGTAAGTCACAGCAGAGGTGAGGGGAGGTGCTGTCAGGGAGTGGCTGTGTTCTGTGTTATTTGCTGCACATGCTAAGCCAAGGCTTCAACCAGAAAGCAAAGGTTCCAGGAATCATGGGCAAGCATTTGAAGAAATGGGGCTCAACATCCTCAAGCGATGTTAAAATATTTGCCATGATAGACACCTTCATGGCTTTAGAATATGACAATTTCTAACAAAATCCCTGGAGATATTTTAAATTGCTGAACACCTAATATGTATCTTAAAAAAAAAAGTAGTGTGACAGTTCTGCAAGGCTGACATTCTCATATATATATATATATATATATACACACATACATATATTTGCACTTTAGGCTCTGGGGTACATGTGCAGAACATGCAGGATTGTTGCACAGGTACATACATGGCAATGTGGTTTGCTGCTGCCATCCCCCCCCACCCATATTTGACATTTCTCCCCTTTTTATCCCTCCCCAATTCCCTACCCCCTGCTGTCCCTCCCCTAGTCCCCCCCAACAGACCCCAGTGTGTGATGCTCCCCTCCCCGTGTCCGTGTGTTCTCATTGTTCAACACCTGTCTACGAGTGAGAACATGCAGTGTTTGATTTTCTGTTCTTATGTCAGTTTGCTGAGGACATTCTCACTTTTTACAATAGATAGTTATAGCTGAGAGACCCCAGGCTATAGCTCAGAGCCACTAACTTTTCCTCCAGAAAGCATGGATCTAGGAAATAACCGAGCCACAAATAATTACTGGTATGCTCGGCAATGAGAACTATTTCATGGCCAAGACCACAAGCTGGAAAATCTCCTTTCCTGACCTCACCTCCTTCACTTCTTACCCCACAGCTCTCTCACTCCTGCTGATCTGTCTTCACCTTTGCTGAGTCTCCATTTTCTAGAGTCTTCTTTTGTCTCCTCATTCATCAGAGTCTTTCTGGCTTCTTTTGACCCTTACCCAGCCAGGAATCCATTATAAATGATTTAAATGGGGCTTTTGCAGGAATCTTAGAATTGCTCACTCCCAAACTGCCTCCTGTGACTGGATTGTCAATCATCAAATCTGGCAAACTCATACTTTTCTTCCCTCTATCCATAGCTGCCAAGTAGTGTGGGAAAAATCACCAAAGCACATAGATTGTATCCCACAAGTTTATTTTCTCTAAATCCTGGCTGGGCCCTCACTCCTTCTTGACAATCCTTTCTATTAATTTTTCCTGTTGCCCTTCAGCACTTCTAACAGCATTAGTCTCCTCAGACACATAACTGTCTGACTGCCTAACCTGCAAAGAAAAACTTATCTCTTGTCATTCTAAGAATAAATCATTTCTTGAGGACTCTCTCAAGTTTTTTACTCAAAATATTTCTGCATTTTTCATTGGAATTTTACCTTCCCTTATACTGAAAAGAAAGACATACTCCTCTTCCTTTTTATAAAGTTATACTGTACCTGGCTCCTCGTCCTTTAGCTTCTCACTTTCTCTAGGACCTTCCTCTATTAATTTTCTCCTTGCTCACTTGAGATTTCGTCTCTCAGTGGCTGCTAGCTATATCCTCTCTGTTGTAACAAATAGCAAGAAATATTTGACTTTCCCGAAACCATGTGTAGCCTATTTCTTGAAGGGACACTTAAACCAACTGAGAACACAGAAATCCCACAAGAAAAAAAAAAACACTGCTGATAATGAACTCTATTTAAAAATAAAGTATTAAAACAACAACAAAAAAATAAATAAAAATGAAGTATTACAGTACACACACACACACACACACACACACACACACACACACAAAGAATACAGGACCAAGAGGGAATGCAATGCCAGCAGATGTAATTAATACATGAGAGAATTGTCATTCCAAGTACTAGGAGAGAAGAGAACCAAAACAGACTAAAAAATACATATATTTAAAATTATTAAAACTTTGATAAAAAATATAATAATAAAAGCATGAAACAGGACAGATTTTTTTTAAAGCAGAATTTATAGGAATGAAAATATAGTGTTTAAAATTAGAAGCTGAAGGCCAGTCATGGTGGCTCACACCTGTAATTCCAGCACTTTGGGAGGCTGAGGTGGGCGGATCACTTGAGGCCATGGTTTCTAGACTAGCCTGGCCAATATGGCAAAACCCCATCTCTACTAAAAGTACAAAAATTAGCTGAATGTAGTGGTGCATGCCTGTAATCCCAGCTACTTGGGAGGCTGAGGCATAAGAATCACTTCAAACCAGGAGGCCCAAGTTCCAGTGAGCTGCGATCACACCACTGCACTCCAGCCTGGGTGACAGAGTGAGACCTTGTCTCAAAAATAACAATAATAAAACTAGAACCTCAAGGTGTGTGGCAGATTAAACAGAATTGAGGAGAATATTAGATAAATGGGAACTAGATCTAAAGAAATTATGCAGAATATAGCAGAGAATAATAAAAGATGGGAAATTCGAAAGTAGTTAAGAGATACAAAGGCTAGAGTATGAAAATCCAAAATAAATCTTCCAAAAGAGAAAAAAGAGAGAAAGAGGGTAACATATGAAAAGACAATGGTTAAGACTTTTCCAGAACTGAATGTGTAATTTCTCAGAATGAAAAAGTACCCAAGTGCTGAAGAGGATAAATGAAAATGAATCTACTACTAGACACATTGTGGCAAACTTGCAAAATACCAAAAACAACAGAAAGTCTCCCAAGCAAACAGAGAGAAGAAACAAATTGCCTAAAAAATATATGACAGCTGGATCTTCAGCAGACTTCCCATTAGCAACAGAATATCCCACAGGAAAATCAAATTGTATTTTCATATTATTGTGAGAAAACAACTGCCAACTTAGAATACAATACCTAACTCAACAAAACTCCAAGAGAGGAAAATAAAGATACTTATGGGCAAGGCAAGAAGAATTTACCATTCAGAGACTCTCACTGAAATATCTACTACAAATATACCTCATTGAGGAAATTTAGTCCAGAACAAAGAAGTAAAAAGCAAGATGCAACGATGAACACAAATATCAGCACATATGGTGATAAACAGAATTGACTGTAAACAAAGCACAATAATAATTCAGACAACTAATGAGGAGTTAGAACTAGATAGAAGACAGTAGTAGTCACTAACAACATGGAAATGGAAAGTTCCTCAAATGGAAGTGGAAAGTAGTAGTCATTAACAACATGGAAATGGAGCTGAGTTTAAAAAGTGGACATTCTCAGATGAATGGATAAAGAAAACGTGAAATAATCCACAAAATTACATATTTTACATATATATAAATTCCACATATAATGGGATATATAAATTATTCCATATAAATTCCATGTATGTATACATATTATATACATATATGTATATATATCATTTTAGATATATACTCACACACATATATATATATTCATATATACATATGACTATAAAAAAGGAAGGAAATTTTGCCATTTTTAACAATATGGATGAACCCAAAGGACATTATTCTAAGTGAAATAAGCCAGACACAGAAAGAAAAACACTCACTTATGACCTCACGTATGACCTCACTTATACGTGGAATCTTTAAAAAATTGAACTCATAAAAGCCAAGAGTAGATGGTGATTTCCAGGGGCTAGGTGGACAGGGAATGGGAAGATGGCAAAATAAAGGATATAAACTTTCAAGTATATGATAGGTAAGTTCTGGGAATCTAATGTACAGCCAGCCTGGTGGTTATAGTTAATAATAGTACTATCTGGTATACTTCAAATCTTCTAAGAGAAACGATCTATAGTATTCTCAGTACATAAAAAAGTAACTATGTGAGGTGATGAATTGCATTAATTCACTTGAATCTGGTGATGATTTCGCAATGTATATGTAGGTCAAATCACTGCACTGTATACCTTAAACATACACAATTTTTATTTGTCAAGTGTAACTCAATAAAACTGAACAGACAAGTGGAAATACTCACATTGCTTGGGAAACATCAACTTGAAACTTAGTCAAGTATTAATGACAAGAATTTAAAGATTATCACTAATAGAAATAAAAAGTATAACTCCCAAACCAGGAAAAGAAGAAAAGGAAAAACAAAGAAAACTCAAAAGGACAAAAAGGGCAAAAGGAAAGGAGAACAATGCAAAAAAAAAAAATTAGATGGAAAAAATAAATCCAAATATACTAGCAATAAATGTAAAAATAAATTAAAACCACTGGTTATAGTCTCAGGCTGGAATTTTTGAAATTCCCACTGTATGATATTTACAAGGTACGGTTGAAAAAGATGTGCCAGGCAAATAGTAAGTGCAAGAAAGCTAGGAGAGCCTTATTACAATCAGACAAAATGGAATTTAAGACAAACAGAGTTATTAGTATTAAACACACTAAATGAGAAGGGAAATATTTTTCAGGAAGATAGAATGACCCTGACTGTTGTGCTAGACAATAAGGTCTCAAAATATATAAAGCAAAAAGCTACAAGATTATAAGGGGGAAAAATGAAAAAAATCACAGAGGTAAATTTTACTACATCTTTGTCAGAAGCAATGTCACCTAAACCAAAAATTGGTAAGACACAGAAGATTCACATAATTATAATAATCAGTATTGACCTAAATAGCATTTAGAATTCTGAGATGAAGCAGAAAAACATAACTTTCAAACAATGGAACACACATGCCAAATGAGGGGTGCTTTTTCCCCTGACATCAACAGATTCTGACACCAAATGTGTAGGGGATTTTCCACACCCACAACCAATTCTACGATTCCTTGGCACCAACTAGGTATTCTATAATTCAGTTCAATTCTGACACTAACTAACCAGAGCTAGTATCACACACCAAAGGTTTAAGGACTCAGTACCATGAATCAGTCACATAACTGATGCCTCCATCTGACTTAGCTACAAGGTTGTAGAATCCCATAATCCCCTCCTTTAGGCTGTGAACACCTCACAGAGCTCAGGAAAGCACCTTACTTACACTTACTGGTTTATTATAAGGGGTACAAATGAACCAAAT